AGACCATCGTGTAAAGGCCATAGGTCTACTGCTGTCTCTTATACACATCTAGATGTGTATAAGAGACAGGTAATACACCAATATGCTAAACAAAGTATGAAGTATAGCATCCCTGAGGGGAGGAAGTGCAGATGACGCGATCGCACCCCCCCCACCCCAAAGTTGCATGAAGAAAAATAATTGTTGTATTGTATTGTTGATATAAATTACCGGTAAGATTTTTAAGGTATGAGAGTGCAAATTTAATATCGATATCGATAATATTTTCAATATCGCCATTTACAAGTGTCGTAAAATAATTTAGTGTGTGAATACAATTTTGGGTTTTCCATTCTGCTGCGTCTTTTTTATTTGTGTTTGAAATGTCTGTTCCTGTATATTACTAAAATAATCGCTACAATTTTTATAGTCAGGATTTGGATGAATATTGTTTGATTTTTTGTTTATTCTTTTCATCCTACAAACGTTTTGGAACTGATAAAGAATAATCTGATTTGGATTTTCAAATTTTATTCGTGCATTTGTTTATAAGTGAACGAATATTAAAAAGTATTTGTAGGATAAGTGTTTTAACATGATCACATAATCTATGAAATCAGGTTTGATCCATTTCATTGTATTTAGCTTAAGTAAATGAAACTAATATACAAGATAATTGTTGACATTTTTCACTGGTTAATATGATAAAAAGAAAAACATCAATTCAATAAATACCGCCAATGTGATTTTTGTTTTGGTCATAAGAAGTAGAAATGCTTATCATTATTATGGTCAGTCCAAATAATAACCGGCTCTTCAAAGATGCCCTCCGAGAACATCTAAAAATTAAAAATTAAAAAAAAAAATCCAAAGATTTATTGACAAAATATTATAAAAATAAGACCCTACTCTAAAACCAAATCCATCGGTGGTACACATCTCAGTTGACAGAGTCAATTTGCATGCGCGAAGGGCCCCGACTGTACTCTTGAACCAGGGCCACTCACAACCTAGTATGCCATTACTTCCCCTACACAACCCCTGGATCATGAAGTGATTAAAGGCGTATTCGTTGACAAACCTCATAGATCAACTTGACTCTATTTTTATTATAATTTAGATGGTGAGAGCAAAAATGAAAAATAAAATATTGCCTACCTAAATAGGCAAATTGTATCTACATGAATGAGGCTTTCTCTTCTGAATGCACAGATCAACTCTGTAAATTAATTTGTTCCCTGGCTAAGTATTATTAATTTTGTCAAGGATATTTTTGACAATAGCGCATCAAAGGACCATTATAAGTTTTAAAATACGAGGATTACATTGACATAAAAAATCATCACTCAAACATCATTCAAACGTCAGACATCTCCATTGGTTAGTATAAATTGTGAAATGTTCGCTATAATCACATCGGTGCTTTGTTGTTGTCGTAAGATTCTTTTACATCCGGGTACTAAATAATGTTAAGATAGGCATCTGTAGGATTAAGTTTAGAACTCTAGAAATATTTATTTATATGTACTGTATATATATAATGTGTGGGTGTGTATCTCAGGAATAAGTTGTTCCGATTTAGGCATTTGTGTTGTATGAGCACAAGCAAAGAACCTTCTGGGTGAGTGGCCTATACATACAAGACAATATAATTAATACTGAGTATCGTATTGAGTACAAACCTCATGCCTCTTCTATTTCCTTTCACACAATATCATTATATACGGTATTGCAAACATGTTATGTTGATATTTCTTAAAAATTTTAGTTCTACAAAAGATTGTTTTTGTCATGTGCCTGGTCTTATTGCGAAATGTCGTGAACAGCATCGGGGTTGCTTAAGCTGCACATTCGGCTGATGACTCGTCGGTATTCAGGAAGTTTCCTGGCGTATATCAACGGATTGATACAACTCGTACAATTAAAGACAATCGCTGTATATGGTATAATATCGGTTGTGTTTGGTATGATGATTGCAAGACTGTGTGGTATTGCACAGATAACGAACGCTAGCACCACAATAAACAAATTTTTAGTGACGTCAATATTTCGCTTTCGAAGATTTACAATAGAAGCAGGAACAGAATTCTGAGAACAAGATTGTAATTGTAGCGTCGATGCCTGCATAGTCGGTGTTATCTTCTTTGCTTCTTTTTTAATGAATAGATAAATCGCAATGTAAAAATAAGCCATACTGCCAAGAGGAATTGGTATTATAATCATTGCAAATATACCAGAATATATGACATGGCCATGTCCAGTTGTGTCCCACAGACAGATATGATATTTAGAATCATACCCAAGTTGTACTATTCCAGATATTATGGGTAAAAACGCGGTTGTCAGAGATACAATCCAGTTACAGGTTACAAATATAGCTGCTATATTGTTATTTACAAGAGTAGGTATTTTTGCTGAGGGTTTTGTTACGATAATGTACCTGACGTAGGCCACAGAAGCGAGAGAGTAGAAGCTCGAGACGGTGCAAGTTATTAGGACTAGAGATGACATCATGCAGACACCATCGTGTAAAGGCCATAGGTCTACTGACACAATGGCAACAATATTCATCGGCAATACTAAACAGTTGAAGAAGTCGGCGATAGCGAGGTTGCCTATGAAGGCGTTCGTACAGTTTCGGAGTTTCGACGACGTACACATTGCTACCAGCACCAAAGCATTACCAATGCTTCCAGCGATGGAGATGACCGCTATGAAGCATGATTGGAAAACGTGAGCCAGAAAATCGTAGTGATCCGTGCTTGTGTTATCCACCATACTAAATAACGAAGCCAAACAAAATGTGCACAATTTATTTAAGTAAGTAAGAATGACGAAGACGAATGATAGTATAAATACTATACCCACCATGCTGTTATGGCACCAGTGTGCTAAGTCACTATCCCTGAGTTACAAGAAACGTTAAGAAACATACATTGATAACCTATGCCATTAGAAAATGGGAAAAACCCATAAAACAGCAAACGGCCATATAATGCAAAACAATTTAAAATTAAAATTAGTTGAACAGCATTAGTAAACGAATGAACTTAGAACCGAGTTGACGTATAACGAAACATATAAATTTTATTATTCACGAATATTTCGCACCTACCTCCTGCGACTTTTCTCAACGTGTAATGAGATATATCTGTCTCTTATACACATCTAGATGTGTATAAGAGACAGAATTAATACTGAGTATCGTATTGAGTACAAACCTCATGCCTCTTCTATTTCCTTTCACACAATATCATTATATACGGTATTGCAAACATTCGAATTCATCACTAGTCACCAAGCGCAAGCTCGGTGGTCTAGTGGTTAAGACATCAGGCTAGATACCTGGAGGTTGTGGGTTCGATTCCCACCCGAATCACTTGCGAATTTTTTTCGCTAGTATTTGGGGACGTACTGAGTATTCAGTACGATTACACGTCAGGTAAGCAAAACATCTCTCCCATGATAACTTCCTGACGCAAACTCATAACCGAATATCACTTGCAGTACCCGGTAGGGCAAAACATCTCTCCCATATATATATATAAGCATGTACAAAATGAAACGATTGAATACCTTGACATAGGCCTAATGGAAACATAAAATGGTGTCTCTATTTCAAAGTATGAAATACAAAAAAAGCACAAAGTCAATAAGGTACTTACTTTAAACACACCACAAGTATAGCCCTTATCGTTACATTACGCACTGCTTTATAGTCTGTACGTGTCACTTCACTTTCTTTCTAAGACCTAAATAAGAATATGCTAGACGCTCATCATTATGCCACATCAATGTCATGGTTACAATCTATTATTAATCAAAGGCAGTAAATTCTATTCAATATTACTTGAAAGAACTATATGTCACTACGGATTACAATAAATATTCAACGACACGTTGTATACAAATTCACAAAACCGAGACTTGATTTGTGTGTATTCTTTTGTTGTTAGATTAAAAAACATCTCGTATGTATCTACAAAATATATTCAATGTACATTTATTAAGCATTGAATTATTGATTATAATAGGAACTGTACAATATATTGGCACATTAATATACTTTAAGGCATATAAATGCGTAAAAACAATTATTTCTAGCATTCTCCAAATCGACAGAGGAGAAAAGCTAAAAGTTATTACTAAAAACACTAGAGCCATATGTGCCATTACATTCTATCCGCGCCAATTGTTCTCCTAAAAAACTTAAACTTACCTTAATGATCAAAAACCGCTGCGATAATATTATCAATGTCTATTTTTTCCGGAAAAAGATGTGAAAGAGAACGATAATCGTCGAAAAATAAGCGCATGCGCCAGAAAAGATAATGGCATTTTATATTAAGATTAATATATCGTTCCTACTCATATCATCGATTGACAATTACAATGATCCATGAAATGCTCTGTTTCTTAGGCAAAAGTAACCAAAAATATGTGAACAATGCATCAAAAATGAAAATCGATGTACATACAAAGACACTTTGTTGTGTAAGTGGCCCCTATTGAGGACCATGCATACATTTACAGTGCAACGTTTACGTTTACTGTAATTAGATGTTACCAATGACTGCGCCCTGGATTTACAAACTGAAGTAGTTTGAAGTATATTGTAGACACATTCTGTAGACCCAATTTTATAATCACTTCACTTGCTGTCTTGGAGAATATGCAAACAAATGATGACATATTAAATTAAAACACAGTACACCTAACCTAGGCCTATATATTTTGGCATTTTTAAAATTTGCTTCATTAGATTGAAAGTAATATTAATAGGGCCTACTAGAAATAAAAGAAAAGATAAACTAACAGCAATAATTAGAATATAAATTTCAACAAGTCGGGCTTATGCAAGATGTGGATATTTAATTAATTTGCAACCCTTGCAAAGAAAAGTTCTCAACGGGATGTTCGGAAGGCCAATGGGTTGTTAGGAACTGTTGGCGAGAGTCACAATCAATTGGATATTTAGAACTGTTAACGAAAATTAGTGCCAATGGGTTGCTTGAAACTGTTGGGAAAGGTAAATGTTAATGACATGCTCGAGAATATTGTTCCAATTGATAGTTTGAACTATTGGACTATTGAAAAGGATAAGTGACAATGAGACAGAGGTTAGACAGAATGTTTGCTAACTGTTTGTTTGAAACAGTTCGAAAGGAAAAGTTACACTATGTTTTTTAAATGTTATATAAATACATGGATTAGAAATAAAGATTAACTAGGTTACTTACATAATAAAAGTGAAACCTTCTGTTGCCGATCTCCTAGAGTCACTACGTAGCTAGTGTACCGTATCTTGCTTAGGCCTGCGTAGTGTGGTAAAATGATTCACAGGTAGCGGGCCGCGACATAAACCCTCCTTCTGGATTGGATTGAATTGGATTTATTCGGTGTAAACATCAAGGATAGCCCACGTAAGTCTAGAAGACTTATTTCCAGTGGGTTCCTTCTGGTGGTGATTGGGCAGTCTACCGGAAGACAATCCCTACTCTTTTCCAAAGACTGTACTGCGTTATTTAACGTGCACATGGGTCATAAATGCACACGGGACCAACGGCTTAAACGCCTCATCCGAAAGACGGTGCGCTGTGGTAACTTGTATTTTAGACCTCGAGCTAAAACACAAGGAGGGGCAGCGATGGGAATTGAACCGGGGACCTA